CTTCCAATTAAAACTTCTGAATATGATCATGTGGTCATGTCCAGGTGGTGATGAGGCTACTGTCAGTTGACCTTGACATATTTTGATAAAAGTTCGCAGTTGCGCAAAAAGGGACAGAGGCTAGCGAAGAAATGGAAAGTTAAAGAAAGGAATCCCCCCTCCCCTTGCTAACCCAGCAAAGGAATGCAAAACACCTCCTGCCTTCTTCCCCTCCAAGATTCCCCCCTCCCACCGTTTCATGATAGCCGAAAGAAGTAAATTGGCATAACAGCAGAGAAGCAACAGTTAGAAGACAGAATATACTTATTAGGAAGATATCTTGAGGCTGACATTCGGACCCCCTAGAAGAAGGACATTAGTCCCTGTAAGAAAAAATAATCATATGTTAACATTGGCATACATCTCTGGTTTATCAGGGTATTTGGCATAAAAATTCTTAGGCAGTTCAGGAGCCCTAATGTCTTTCTCATTAACCCACTCAGCATAAGACGGAGGAAAATGTTTCCAAGCTACAAGATATTGGATACGACCCCTCCATTTCCTAGAGTCTAGAATTTCTTTAATCTCGAAATGTTGTTCACCCTCAATCAACAGTGGTACGGGGGGATCAGACTGGGTCGGTCTCAGGGTACAGGTATGTTCGGGTTTCAACAAACTGACGTGGAAAACCGGATGAATACGACGAAGAGTCTTTGGTAAAGTCAGTTGAACAGTCACTGGATTTACAATCCTCTCAATGGGAAAAGGCCCCACATACTTAGGACCCAACTTCTTAGATTTCTGGGTAGTCTGCAAATACTTGGTCGAGAGGAATACTTTATCGCCCACCTTATACAACATCTGCGGGGCTCGCTTTCTGTCAGCAAATTTTTTATGAGACTGATGCGCTTCGTCTAAAGCTTTACGTGCAACCGGCCAATTAAGTTGAAGTTGAGATATCCAGTCGCTCAACGATTGAACACTGGGGTTTTCGCCAGGCAGTTCAGGTATGGGCACAAAATCTTGCCCTGTTGCTATTTTGAAAGGAGTAAACCCCGTACTGCTGTGAACAGAGTTATTGTATGCCACCTCCACAAAAGGCAGTAACTCCACCCAGTTGTCTTGCTGATAATTTATGTAACATCTGAGGTATTGCTCTAGCACCCCATTAGTCCTCTCGGAAGCCCCATTAGTTTGAGGATGGCGGGCGGAGCTTAAACTCTGGGTGGAGCCTATTAACTTCAAAAATTCCCTCCAGAAGTTCGAGGTAAATTGGACTCCTCGGTCAGAAACTACACGCTCAGGTACACCATGCAACCTGTAGACATGAATAATGAACAGTCTGGCCAATGTCTTCACCGAAGGGATTTTGGAGCAAGGGATGAAGTGGGCTTGTTTGGAGAACAAGTCAGTCACTACCCAAATGACTGTGTGTCCACTGCTTTCGGGTAGGTCTACTATAAAGTCCATGGAAATTTCCTTCCAAGGAGCAGTTGGCCGAGCCACATTTTGCAGCAAACCTGGTGGTTTACCAGGAGATCTTTTTGCTGAAGCGCAAACTGGACAACTCGCCACATAGGGTCTCGATGTCCTTTTTCAACGAAGGCCACCAGAACTGCCGTTTGACCAAATGTAGAGTCTTTACAAATCCAAAATGACCAGCCACTTTGGAATCATGAGTTTGTTGTAACACTTGGCTTCTCAGGTTTTGAGGTACATACAATTTCGCACCTATCCAGGCTAGACCATCTCGAACGGTGCAGTTATTCGCATTTGCCAGGAACCACTCATCCGTTTTCAAAACCTCCTTAAATCGCTCCATCAGGTCAGTGGACAAATCTCTCTCCTGTTTTCTCTTTTGCACGCGGGTAACTACGGGGGCAGCCAGCTGTGTAGTGGACACGATTGGCCTTATCACTTCTTTACAAATACTGTTGTATTGAGGCATTCTAGACAAAGCATCTGCCATAAAATTTTTTACCCCTGGAATATATTTCAAGGAGAAATTGAATCGCTTGAAAAACTGAGCCCACCTAACTTGCTTAGGAGATAGCTTCCGAGGAGTTTTTAAAGCTTCCAGATTTTTATGGTCAGTCCATACCTCAAATGGGTGCTTCGCTCCTTCCAGAAAATGCCTCCACGCTAGTAAAGCCCAGCGGACTGCAAACACTTCCTTCTCCCAAACGGCCCATCTCCTTT